CGGGCCACTGAACTCGTCTGCTAGGCCTCCTCCTTCCAAGGGACTAAGGGGGCGGAAGCAGAAGCTCGACCCCCTGCTCACGGTGGTTCCCCTGGCAACCAGCCCCTATCCTCACCTCAGGTGTTTTCCTTAAGTTGTTTTGTTTTTGCTTTTTGGGGGGTGACACCCAGCGAAGCTCAAGGGTTACTCCTGGCTCTGTACTGAGGAATTACTCCTGATGGTGCTCAGGGGACCATACGGGATGCCAGGGATCGAACCCAGGTCGGCTGCGTGCAAGGCAAATGCACTGCCTGCTGAACTGTCGCTCTGACCCTGTATTCCACCAATTATCTTCAATTACATAACCAGACATATCTGTCTCTCAACATGTAGGAAATTCCCAGGCTTTAGGGAGCTCTAAGCTGGAACTATGGAGGAAGCCCAAACTGGTGAATGAGAAATCCAGCTTTTGAGCATCTCAGTGACAGAACATACAATAGACAAATTCATATATTCCCGGTGACTGCCATGGACTCCTGCTCTCACAAACCCTGGTCTTGGGTTCACTCTGCCTCTCAGATTCAATGAGCAGAAACCTCACCCTCAGTCGACGCCAAACATCTGCCTTTTCCCTGCCTACACCCAAGGAGCTGAAAGTTACTGTAGAAAAATACCACACAACTGGGCTCGTTAGCCGAACCTGGCAATCACAAACATTTGATTTGGCTTGCAGAATGTTTGAGAATGCTTAAAGCTGAGGAATTTCACACATAAATATGCATTTCCAGATTTCCTTGAAAAACCAGCTCCCCACGCGGCAGCAGCCGCCTCAACTGAGGGACGGATCCCGCTTGCAAGGACAGAAACTATCGCCAGTGCCACAGCAGCACTGGCACACGGCAAGTCAGGCACGGTTCAAAGAGCTTTTTATGTCTCAAGAAAGTCACCCCCTGGGTTGGAAAGACAGAGGCAGGGTGCTTTGCTTGCATGCAAAAGACTCGGTGCAATCCCTGGCATCTGATATGATCCTCTGAGCACTGGCAGGAGGAATTCCTGGGTGCAGAGCCAGGAGTAACCCCAGAGCATCACTGGGTGCGGCCCCAAAATACAGGAAGGAAGGAAGGAAGGAAGGAAGGAAGGAAGGAAGGAAGTCGTTTTTTCCAAGTTGGGCAGCAGTCAGCTCCTCCTCCCCTGCAGGCTCTCTCAGACTGCCTCACCTTGGCAGAGACCGAACCCCAACGTGAGCGGGCCCCTATGTCCTTCCCCTCAGCCCCTGACTCCCTCATCAGGCCACTCAGTTTCCTCTTGATTTTTTTCAGCTAGTTTTTATTTACCCGGAGGTGTCTCTCGCACTCACCCGGTATATGTGTCACACATTTAACATTATTAAAATGCGCTGAATTTATGAATGTCTTCATGGCGGGAGTTCTCCTACCGTCCCTGGCATGAGTGTCATGAATATCACCTGTTCCTTCTAACGGACGTGACGGGCAATTGTAAAGTCACCACTGTTCCTTCAACTCACACCCAAACATTTCCCAGCTCACTTCACTCTTAGCAAACAGTGAAGGTCCTAGAAGTTGGCCCATCCTATCACGCCTACCTGGCCTAGAATTTCTTTTTATTTATCTATTTAATTTTTTTGTTTAGTTTTTGGCAGAGAGAAGAGTCACACCTGGCTCAAGCATCACTCCTGTCGGTGCTGAGGGGACCATACAGAGTCCCAGGGATCAAACCCAGGGCATCAAGGTGCAAGGAAAGTGCCCTGCCCTCTGCACCATCTCTCCGGCCCTCTGATTTATTTCAAGATCAAATAACAGCTCTGTGGGCTCATCCTGTTTCAGGCAGCTCTGGAGACCCAGCTGGTCCTGCAGTCAGAACCTCTGAGCCGCCGCCATCAGACCACCCGACCTTCTTCAGCCCTGTAACCCACACATCACCCCACCCCACAGAGTCCCCCAGGTCTGTCTACCCCGACCCTCCTCCCTCTCAGCACCTTGTGAAACTTCCCAATATTGTTCCGGCAGCGAGAAAAAGGACATCTGTTCTTCAACGTGAGAACTAGTTTACAAAACGAGAAAAATCAAGAACTCCATGTACACAATGGCGAGCTAGTGCTGTCGGCGCCAGCTCAGCATGGAGACTTCGAGGACACGTGGACAACTCCTGCCCAGAAAAGGCAAAACACCAGTGACACGTCAAACCATTAGTCAAGGCTTGAAAAACGGAAGATATTGCTCTACTTCTATTTTCAAATATATCCCTAGTATCTCTCAATAAATGTCTTTTCTCTGGACTGGAGCACTGGAGCACTGTCCTCCCGTTGTTCATCGATTTGCTCGAGCGGGCACCAGTAACGTCTCACAACAAATTGTGAGACTTGTTACTGTGTTTGGCATATGGAATACGTCACGGGTAGCTTGCCAGGCTTTGCCATGCAGGCGAGATACTCTCGGTAGCTTGCCGGACTCCCCAAGAGGGGCACAGGACAAGAAGGAAAAAGCATTTTAACGTTGCAATATACTTAAATTTGAGTGCAAAGCTCCCCGGTGCTTGTAAGGAGAAGACTGAGCTTCATTTTCGCGACAGTGCCGTGTCCCTCCCCTCTCGGTGGCTACCTGACCCGCCAAGGCTCACTCAGGGCGAGTCTGTGTCTGCAAGCAGATGGGCCATTTCTATGCTCCGAAAAATCTTATTTACAGTGTTGTATGCTTCACACGGTGACCTCATATCTGGACCCATTCCTCTCCCCATCTGTGAAGAACAACTGTTCTCATCTGGGGGGCTGGGGGGGGCTCTGGCGGCCGAGACTCATGATGTCACAGGCCAGGAGGAATCACTTCCAGACCACTGGGAACGAGGGCTGTTACAATGACTGGACTCTTGGTTCATTTTATTAACAGCAAAGCGTCGCTTCAACAGCAAAAATTACTAAGATGAAGCAAAAGAGAATGCCACTGCACCCTCTGTTCTTCCCCTTACCTCTACAAATTCTCTAAGCCGGACTTGCCAGGTTATTTTCCTTCCAGTCACAATCACTGAGCTACCCCCACGCCCTGCCTCAGTAGCTGGGACCTCGACTCTTTCTTCGGTTAAGAAATGTTTATTCAATATACAGTTATTAAGCATCAATCAGCCAGGCACGGGGCTGATCTCTGGGAAACAGGGATGACCCAGGTCTCAAGGAAGCTAACACTCTAATGCCAAATTGCCGCAAAAGCCAAAAAAATGCAGTGGCTTTAGAATAAAGGCCATGGCTCAGCGTGGGGAACTGAGATGACGCTTCTCGGAGGGATAGGATTTGGGGAGGAACTGAAAAGGTCAAGCACAATTACGTCAAGAGTGGGAGAAAGGGCTCCGAGCACCGGACGGCGTGCCCAGCCACAGGGAGCCGGAGAGGGCGGAGGGTGAGCAGGAGGGGGGCAGCATGAGGCTGGGCACAGGGGTTGAGGATCCCCAGACAGGAGAGCATGCAGGGCCATGAGACCGGCAGGTAAGAGGGAGGTGAGCATATGTGTGATGCACGGGACGTAAAGGATTAATGGATGGACAAAAGTCCGGCAGCAGCCTTGCCTCCACCGAGAAAGGCCTCATCAAGACAGCCGGGGAAGTTGGAAAAAAGGTCCGGAGTGACCCTAAAATCCTAAAGGCCTGCTCCTGGGGCTGGGGCGATAGCACAGCAGGTAGGGCGTTTACCTTGCACGAGGCCGACCCGGGTTCAATTACCAGCATCCCTTATGGTCCCCCAAGCACCACCAGGGGTAATTCCTGAGTGAAGAGCCAGGAGTACCCTGCGCTTCGTCGGGTGTGACCCAAAAAGCAAAAAAAAAAAAGTATCTGCTCCTTGTCAGATATTTTCCCGTGCCACTAACCAACCCCCTGCGCCCCTGCCCAGCACGGCTATAAAAGGTGGCTGGAGGAAGGGATGGAGATGGGACCTGTGCACGGCTGGACCCGCAGTCAAACTCACAAGGGAGAAACTGGGCGTGCACAGCGCTGGCCAAGTAGACAGCCAGTGCTCCAAGGCGCACTCGCCAGACTTCCACGCCGGCCCAGGGACAGGCCACGAGCCAGGCCGGACTCTGGGCCGGCTCCGCGCCATCTGCCCCACCTCCAGGTCAGGCCTGGTGAGGCCTGCGCTGCCTGTCGCTGGAATTAAAAGAGTCCAGGTTTTCCTTAGTGCCACAACCTCACCGTTCCTGCTTCCCACCTCCCTGTCACTCATTCCCGAGGCCTGAGCTGACCACTCTCCGGTTCCCCGCAGTGTCACTTTCGACTGTTTCCCAATTCCCCCAGGGCTCCCCAGAACACCCCAGCAACACCAGCCCTGCCTGGAGACACTCGTCACTTAGCCCCACATCATCAGGTCCTGTGGCGAGGCCCCTCCCCGCAGCGGGCTGCCCACTCGAAGTCCAGAAGGGGAGTGTGAACCCCCGCACCTCTCGGGGGCAATGGCCAGGCTGCTGGTGAGCGCTTGGTAAGTGAGTGTGCACACAAGGGAAGCGTGAACCCCCTACACCTCTAAGGGCTGTGGCCAGGCTGCTGGTGAACGCTTGGTCAGTGTGCACAGGAGTCAGACACAACTGGCCTAGAGAAACACAGTGTGTGGGCACGCCAAGGCGCACTGCACATTCTGTCTCTCTTGCCGGCTTCCTTCCCGACCTCACTCTCATTCCCGTGCGGCCCAAGGGATCGCCGTGAACTGAAGCACGGGCATTGGGGGAGCAAACCCAACACGCTTTCTACTTGCACTTCGGCAGCTCCTTCTGCCCCTTCATTAACAGAGCTCCCTCGTGTCCCTTCACTTATCCCTGGCCAGGCTCGGTGAGACCGCCTCCCACAAAACCCCCAAGGCTCCCTATGTGTGAACCAGGGGGCACCGTGCTGTCCCCGTGCGTGTACTCATCACCTCTAAGGCACGGGGGCCCTAAGAGCCCTCTGACCCTCTGGCCCAGGACGATCAGTGCTTCCCCGAGTCATCCCTCCCGAGCCAGGCAGCCTAGCGGGCAGGCCCGGAGCACCTGGATGAGCGTGCCTCTCTTCAAGCCCTGTGCGACATCCTCCCTGGACATGTAGGTCTCAAATACGCTCTTCTTCTTCCCTCGTGCCGACTTGTTCTTGGACTTCTTGTCGCCTGGCGAAGCACCGATGCCGTGTGAGCCAACCACAGGAGACACGCCTGGAAACAAGAGCAGCCATCAGCTCGTGGCTCCGTCGCCCACCTCGCGGGAGCACGGACCACACAGCTGATGGTTCCAAATCGCCAAAGCAAAGGAAACAACGGGTAAGGGATCGCAGATACAACGCACAGACCAGACTGGAGTTTCCAATCCGCACCGGAATATGCCGGGCACATAACCCAATCAACGGGCACAGGGTGCGTTGCACGGACACAGACTTTCTGAAAATATGAATAATTAAACAACTGTCCCTCTTAGGAAGGAGATAAACAGCTGTGCTCAACAGAATAAAAACGAGGGACAATATAAAATAACAGGGAGATTCCTTAATAGATCACAGCAACGCCCCCCACCCTCCATTTGCCTTTTGCTACCTCGGGGGGCCCCCAGGGGCCACAGGCTCAGTCGGCAGTCAGAATGGTTCATGGCTGGTTCCTAGGCCACCGTTGTTCTCCAGATTCAGGGGCTACCACCGCTCGGCTCCAATGTGTTTTTTCTTTTCTTTTCTTTTCTTTTCTTTTCTTTTCTTTTCTTTTTTCTTTTTTGCCCTGAGCAGTTCAGTTGTCACCAGCTGAAACCAGAGAGAGGAAGAAGGGTGACTAGGGAGCAGTGGGCAGTGACACGGGGACGCCAGCCCCTCCGCTGAGCATGCTGCAACAGTGTCATGCTCTCAGCAGGGGACGGAGCACACATCTGTCCTGTGCTTCTTTTCAAGGTCTTCATCCACACAGGGATGACCAGCTGGCTGTGTGCCTGACTTCAGCTAAACACCATGCCCTTCCACAAGGGCAAGGAGGTGGAAATTCAGGGATTCTGTGATAATGGTCAGCTTGTGAAATGCAGAAGAGCAAGAGAGAAAATAGATTCTAAACTAAAGGTCTAGAATGTAAAGGCTATGATGAAGTAGGTACTAAATTCGGACTCAAGAGACTCAAGCACCGGGGCCAGAGCAACAGCACAGCAGGTAGGGTAATATTTGCCTTGCGCGAGGCCAACCTGGGTTCGATTCCCGGCATCCCATATGGTCCCTGAGCACCTGTTATTCGTCGATTGCCTCGAGCAGGCCCCAGTAATGTCTCCTTCATCCTAGCCCTGAGATTATATTCAAGGCTATTTAGGAGAAAGAGACCCTTCATTGTTACTGGTATCTGGCATATTTGGTACGCCACGGGGAGTTTGCCAGACTCTGCCCTGTGGGCAGGCTACATTCGATAGCCTGCAAGTTTGCTGGGCACCACCCAGGAATAACCCCTGAACATGACCGGGTGTGACCCCAAAAAGAAAGCCGAAATAAATAAAATCTGCGTGTGAGAGAGAGAAAAGAGAGGTGAGAGAGAGAAGAGAGAGAGAGGAGAGAAGAGAGTGGAGAGAGAGAGAGAGAGAGAGAGAGAGAGAGAGAGAGAGACTCAGCATTTATTAAACCCAACCCCTTGGACAGTGATGCTTTTCTATAAAACCAAGTGAATCGAGTCCTTTTGAATTCAACAAAACAAAATTCCCTCCACAATTGGTTATGTTCAACTCTGCGGAGAAGTGGGACGGTCCCCCAACTTGTGAAAAGCAGCAGAGCTGTAGAGGGGCGCCCGCTTGCCCACCCTCACCTGCCAGCACTTCGAACCGGCCGTCGGCCAGAAGCCCGGGCAGCTGCCGGCTCAGCGGGCTGGAATGTGAGGCCCCGCAGCTGGCCCCCGGCCTTCCACCTGGATCCCGGACATGTCATCACAACTTCGACTCTACGCTGCTGGCCATCGGCCCAGGGCTCAAGCCTTGACTTGCACATTTCCAAAGTCCTGGTGGGCAGCCTGTTTTCCCATAAAGTGGATCAAGATGTCATTCTAAACATTAGCTTCCATTTCCTCTAAATTTCCCACACACATCCTTCCCTGAAATGACGTCATTTTTCTTTAAATTAAAATGAATAATCAGAAGAGGAGCCATCGGGAGGGGATGAGAGCAGGTCGCTCCATGGCACGCAGACACGCAGAGAGGTCCGAAACATACACGAGAGGAGAGGGGCAGATGGTCTTAGATAAACAAGGCAGGGGACACGCTCGCAGAGAAGCCCAGACTCCTGATGGCCTGATTCAGAAATGCCTTCATCCACTCAGTGACTCAACAAACGCTCTGGCAAGCACTGAACTAGGCACAAGGAAGAATCCAAGGTTAATTCCAACTGGAAAAGTCATTGAAATAATAACACAAGCTGAGAAGTGATAAGCACGCCTGTTTTTTTATAAGTTGGAAAGATGCACGTAGGAGGGAAGGGGACACAGAGAACCCCCGGATCGGAATGCTGAGAGAACTTCAGGATGAACTGAGAATTGTGAGCAGAGCAAAGCACTGGCCAAAGCAGCACCAAGACACAAATCGGGGGGAAAGACAAGCTCTGGCAACATCCATTCCCCCTGGACCGGGGCCAGGCTCTATGCAGGAAAGCAAGCAAATTGGAGGGGCTAGAAAACCAGCCCCTTTCTCCAAAGGCAGGAGGGAATTTCTGAAGCATGAAGGAGCGGAACAAGAGCTCAGGGCTGTGTTTCGGCAAAAATTAACCTGGCAGAGGATGCAGCGTCATCTGGAGTTGAGAATGACCAGAGGCAGCTGCACCTGAAGAAAAACCCAGGACAGACGAGGCGAGAGGAATGGATGCCTGAGCCAGAGTCATACGTGGACACTGAGACAGAAAACCCAGTCCTCAAGGTACCCTGACAAACGGCTCCGCTCGGTAGCTGGGCGATGGGCAGAACCACGTGGCAGTGAATGTACGAGATTTCAAACCGTGGGAGAGAGCACTGCCACAAAATTAGAGATAGTGATCAACCCTACTTGGGGGTGTAGATGCCCCTACAAATACACACCTCTCTGTCAAAGACTAAGAAACCAGGGCCAAACTCGGGGAGGAAGAAACGAGCCATCTATTTGCATAAGCATGGTAAGCCAAAGTTGACTGGGCAATAAATGTCACCAAGAAAGGGAAGGTGGCTACAGAAGAGGGCACAGGGCAAAATCTGAGCTTGGGAAACCTCTTTAGAAAAAAAGGGAAAGGTACGCAAAAGAATAACAAAATTGCTACTAAGGACACATGAAAAGAACGAACGGAGCCAAACAGTACCAAACAAGGGCGGAAACAAGACCGGAAATAAGACCAGGTCATGGTCAGGAGTAACCACATGAGTAAGGGCAGCAAGGAGGCGGAGGGGAGGGAGGCGGGCTGCTGCCAGGAGAAACACAACTCAAACACCAGGCACAAGTCAAAACCGGCGCTTCAAATCCAGTCCCAGTGCACAGCAGACTTCAAAACTGAGAGAAGTTCCTAGAGTTCAGTGAGACTCAAATATCTGACGGCTGCTGTAACTTTCCTTCACCACAAAGATGCCAGTTGCGGAATTTATAGCACACATGTCTCTGTAGCTCAGGAAGACAGAGATGTTAGGCTGGCCCGTTGGGCCCTCAGAGGCTGGCACAGGCTGGCACAGGTGCTCACGGCTCATGCTGCCCCCACACGGGGGGCCTGAGTCAGCTTCCCCGTAACAGCCAGGAGAAAACCAGGCAAAACAGGGAAACCGCACTAAGCCAGCGAATACCAAAACGGGAACCCACTACCCAGGAAACATAACCGGCAAGAGTGAGCGAGAGAGCCGGGAGGGGATCAAAACTTGCCTGGAAGGAGGTGGGGAAATTTGGATTGGTCAGCTACGGGAGCAAATGACTGACCCTGGGGGACACCGTGACAGCGAGTCCGCTCCAGAGTGAGAGGCACTGACACAGGTGCATAATGCCTGCTGCTTCCCAGAGCCATGGCATCTTGGAGACCAACTTGAATATATTCAGTAGACGTGTCCACACATACGCTGAGCCCATCACCACACGACACCTGCCAGGCAGAAAACTAAGAACATCAGCCACAAAATCTTCTGCACATGGCTATGACTGTCCCCACACCCCTCCTATGGGAAAAAAGGGACACTGCAGCCTTTCTCTAACATAGCCCCTACCTGTGTGTCCCTCACCCGGTCCTCCCAGTTAGCCCCCAAGTCCTGTGCCAAGGACCTCTAATTATACAATTTTCACTTGTGGTCCCCTTGAAATATTCTGGGGACTCCCAAGGGGGCCTAATGGTCCCCAGCTATGAAATGCTGTCCTAAAGATTGGAAAGAACATCAACTGACAAAGAACAACTTCTACTAAAATCATCATAAAAATACCCATTCTGAAGAGCTGGGCTGGGTGAGTCACCAGCCAACACGCTCCATGGCACTCTTTTAAAAAGCAGGGAAGGGAGAATAGGACAGGCAGCTGGCTGGAGAGAGAGCACCTTTGAAGAAAGCAGCTGGGTGAGACAAATGGGTCCTGAATCCTCCATATTCCCCACCCCAGCAAAACGCAAGGTGCAGAACTGTGCAAACTGCCACAATGCCATGAAAGTAGATGGCCAAATTTCCAACACTTAGAAGCTGAACAAAACACTGTAGAAAGGCAATTGGATCAAAGAGGAAATCAAGGAAGAAATACAAAAGATTCCTTGAAACTAAAGAGAATGAAGACACTAGCTACCAGAATCTATGGGGTACAGCAAAAGCTGCACCAACGGGAAAATTCATAGCTGGGCCGGCCTACAGTAAGAAAGAAGAAAAATCCCAAATTAACAACCTAAACACACGTTTCAAACTTTGGAGAAGGAACAAAAACAAATACAAAAGTAGTAGAAGGAGGGAAATAATAAAAACTAGAGCAGCAATCAACAACACAGAAACCAAGAATTGCAATTCAAAGAGTCAGTAAAACCATAGCGGGTTCTTTGAAAAAAATAAAGAAGATAATCCTTTAGCTTAAACTCATGAAGGGGGAAAAAAAGAGAAAATGTTCAAATAAATCAGGTAAGAGATTAAAGTGGAGAAATTACAACAAATCCTTCAGCAATTCAGAATAGAATGAGATTAAGTTATTATGAACAACTTCATGCTCTTAAACTAGAGAACCTAGAAGAAATGGAGAGATACTGAGAGTCATGTAAGCCCCCAAAGCTGACTGAGGAGGAAGCAGAAAGCGTAAACGGGTCCAAGTAAGGAAACTGAAACTGATTCAGAATTTCCCCAAGAAAAAAAGTTCTAGTCCAGATGGGTTCACTAGTAAATTCCATCAAGCCTTCAAAGAAGATTCACTGTCTTTGCCTCTTAAGCTTTTCCAAAACATCAAAGACACAAGAATCCTAGGAAACACCTTCTGTGAAGCTAACAATACACTAATACCCAAAGCAGAGATACTTCCAAAAAAAAAATTTTTTTTCAGACCCATCTCCCTGATGAATGTTGATGCAAAAACCCTTAACAAGATCTAGCTAACCAAATCCAACAACATATCATAAAAATTATACACCCTGATCAAATGGGATTCATCCCAGGGATGTAAGGATGGTTCAACATGTGCAAATCAATTAACATAATATGCCATATTAATAAGAGGAAAGATAAAAGTCATATAATCACATCAACTGATGCACAGAAAGCCTCTGTCAAGGTCCAACATCCATTCATGATTAAAAACTCTCAACAAAACAGGAG